TCAGGGTAGGACTGTGCATTCATTCTCAGCTAACTTCAAGACAAAAAGCAGTTTGATTGCTATGTCCTCCTGGATGCTAGAACAATGACCCATAACACAAAGAGACAATACAGGATTACTGCTGTTACTGCTTTAAGATAATTAAACAAATCTTCAAGTAATGTCTGATGGACAAAACTGGAAGTAATGAACTTCTCAGTAAATCTTAGATCCTTTTATTGAATGCTGACAGTGATCTTTATATTATCTCCATCAAAGAAGGGAAAAATATAAACCAGCAATTGGAGATTTTTTAAAATTTAAAGCATAGTACTAATCACCTAAATCAGAATGTTTAGAGTGGTGCAGGCATGCTGTTCTCTCCTCCTGTTGTTCTTTTTAGACTGTTAAAAGAAAAATCTATGGTGATAGTCTCATAATTATGTGTCTAACAAATGTTATTGTGAATTCTAATTACCTTTCTAAATTCCCATAAAGCAAAATAATGAAAGCAGTGTAAGTATTATCTACCTTTCATATTAATATATGTGTGCAAAACCACGTTTTTTGTCTCATGTAGTAAAGCCATGCATAAGCTGTCTAACCAGCTTGTAAGCTTGTAAGCAGTGGTAACATTCTGCAAAATTCTCATCTTGATTTTCCATGACTTGTGAGATGTCAGCTGTGGCAAAGACTGTCAGAGGTGTCAGTTACTTCTTTATTCATCTTAAGGAGATGAGCTTTTTTCAGAATTGTTTTGTGTTTGCAGGTTAAGAACTACAGTTCTGATTAAAATGATCTTTTGTACACTTTTTTTGTAATGTTTTATCATGATATGCTGCAACAAAACAGAAACACTTATGTGCACTATGGTTTAGAGAGCTGTATGCTGTCCTTAAATTCTTGTAGCATTTGATTATATCTAAGATGACTTGGAGGCAGCATTTACTTTCTGGTAGCATTTAAGAAGACAACTTAAGATTTTGTAAGGGTTAGTGAAAAATCGATAATAACTGATGTTCTTGTAACATGCCTGCAGTGTGGAAGGTAAGTTGGGAGCAAGAGGTTATTTTCTTTGAATTAAGTGGAGAGTCTTGTAATATACAGTAAAGTGCTCAATTCCATGATGGACAACAGTTTTGAAATGTAGCCTTTCAGTTCTGTAAACATTATGCTCTTTTCCCTTAGCAATTGAATAGAAAGGATCAAGACATTGGATTATCTTTTCTAAAATCACACCTGAAAATGTCTTCTATCTGTCACAAAAAAATAAATTCTAGTTTTCATGTCTTATTATTCAAAAAATTTTATCCTAACATTGAAAGAAAACAAAGTTTAGCCGTATAGAAAATAGAGACTACAGAGATCAGAATTGAAATTAGACAAAAATGTTTTTAATTTCAATTAAAAAAGTTAACCATAAATACTTTCTAAAATTTAGTGAATATTACTTTATTAATATGTGTGAAAACTCTTCCTTATATTTCTCAGATAGAAAAGAAAAAAAAATATCTGAATCTTAAACTCTTACATAGCCTTGAAATTGCATTTTTAAAATACATGACTATTTTAGTAAGTGAAATTTTAAACAAGCAAACAAATAGAAGATATATAACAATAGTCTTAATCAGAACCAATATTTTTATTCCCATATGCGCATACAAGATCACATAAAAATTTATAAAAAATAATTTGAAAACATAAAATGGAAGAATATATAAAATAACTCTCAGAGTTATGGTATCTGCTTTATTAAGACTGTCAGTCATTAAAACATTTCCCTTTTAATGAGTTTTCATATCCATGTAAAATGTGTTGTCAGGTTTCTTGAGATATCATTTTCAGGGAATTTCAGAATGTTGACATGTATCTTCTCACCTCTTGGATGTTGGTTGTAATCCATTTCTTGCTGATATTACTTAAAAATTAATGTCATATGCAGATTTTTGCAATGGTTCTGGTGGATTGATTCTACTTGAAAAGGATTTGTTCTAGTTTGGCACTCTTTTTAGATGCCTTGGCAAAAAAAAAAAAAAGACAAAGAGCACAATCTTTAAAGTTTTAAGAGCTAATGCATCATTTTAAAATTTAGAAGGATTTTGTTCCTCAGAATGTTTTAGCTAGGTCTTTAATTCCAGAGGTGAGAGCCATACCATGGCTACAAGTGGTGTAGTGCTGAGTTGCACCATTTACTTCTTAATGTGTTCTCTATGAAATTCCTGAGCTATATGCTAGGTTCCTCACATAGTGGAAATGCCAAGATCTTCAAGCCTTAGCAATTTAGCCTTTAAGCCATTAGGGAATACTAAATTAAATCTTGCCCTTTTAAAATATTTCAGGGTTAATTTCAATTTCAGAATCATAATGGCAGTTTTGATCTTAAGCAACAGCACTTTATTAGAAAAAAGGGAAAGTTTAAGAGAATTGAATATTTTCTTTCAAAGTATAGCAGGATAAGGAGGTACAGTTTTCTACTTTCTACACAAAGATCAGCAAAGATACCTCATGCATTAAGATCTGACATATTACATTCAGACCATTCAATCAGGAATTTTAGCCACCTCATTCACACAAAAAAAGCTGTCTTGGTTGTCAACCCAGTGCACATTGCAGAGCTCTCTTCCACCAGAAATGCCAAACTTTTGCCTCTGAAGGACATGTACTTGGCTCTGAACCAGAGAAATATACCTTCTCCTTTGGATTCACAACTTAAACTTTTCTTAGTTGTAGGTGGTAAAATCATTTCTGCTGTAAGTTGAGTAGGCATTATTCCTTTATTTCAAACTCAGCAGGAGAAAGAAATGCTTCAAAGGAAGTGTATCACACCCAGAGCGAGATTATAGTTTCCTTCACTTCCTACCTGCCCATTTCCTTATTCATGCAAAGGGTTAGGGAAGAGGACATTTGTTCAGGCTTTGTTGGATTCATGCTCAGTTCTAATTCCTAATTAAGATAACTCATATTTGCACTCTTCTGCACAAAATGGAATTTTATGTAAAAATATTGAAGTTCTCAGTGAAACAGGAGCTACTACTGAAGTCCTTCCTCTGCTGCTGTGTGGTCTCATCCCTAATCTACAGAACAGCTCATGTTTTCCCTGTCTCCCTTTCTCTCTCTATGCCTCTGTTAACTGCTACCATGCCAATTGGAACATCAGTAAGCAGCAACTGCAAGTGACTTTACCTTGGAATGGTCTAATGCCTGTAGGTTATTTATAGCTGTTTACTGAGACACAAGCTTAAATCTCTCTGGCAGAAGATGCTATTATATTGACATTCTTAAATGTGACTTGTGTTCAGCCCTAATTCTCCAGCTGATGGCTTGCTGCACTGAAGAAAAGGGTATCTGCCACATATTCTTCTTTATCTGTTGCCACACTTTTTAAGGAACTTGCCTTGTTTGGTCCTTTCAGAGCATACCTATTGGATTGATAACCATGCATGGAGAACTGGAATGTGAATTCTAATAGGATCCACAACTAAGCCAAGCACCAATGTGTTTCACAGAATTTCTACTATTGCCAAATGACAAGGCTGTAAAATTTAATGGGAAAAGCTGAGTGCCTTACTGTTTTCAGCCCTGTAGGCTGGAAGCTGAATGCAGATTTTATGAATGCAGTTTCAATCTAGGTTCTCAGTGAACTGGGTAGGGTGAGATGTTTAAATATTTTCTGGATCTAATCACCAAGCTTCAGGTTTGTATGAATAATGAAGATATAACAGTTCAGAAATGAAGCAGGGTTTTTATTTGAAAGCCAAAGGAGACAATTATATATTGACTACCACTAATCAAAAAAAATCAAAAAATGGTCATGAGATAGTTAGAGTAATTCTAGGTGGTTTGACTTTTTGGTTCTTGTTCGATAGGTTGTTTGTTTTTCATTTGTTCATCTGCCTTTTTTTCCTGATCATGTCCCTGGCCTGGAGATTAGTTATTAAGAGAGAAAAATGCAAAGGGTTAGACCACACCTCAAATTTGCTTTGGCTGAGAGCAATTGTCAGAGGCTTGTTTTAACATCTCATCTTCTGGGATTATTAAGTCAGTATATTTCTCCATTACCTGGAAAATGCTTAAGTTAAACTATGATGCCAAGCCCAAAAGTGAGTTTTTTTCTTACTGCCATATGTCATTTGATACTCCAGTTCTCACACTGAAGAAGGTTAATTGCTCAACACATCATTAGCAGTTGAAAATTCAGTCAGACTGAGGGAATAGAGCTTTTATTTTACTTTTAAAATTGCTTGCACTGCAAAGTAGAAAAAGAGCTTTGAGGATTTGATGTAAACATTAATAAATTTTTTAATAATACACTAATACACTTTTCATTAAGATCAATGAATCTGAATTGCTGTGGTTTTTTGTTGTTTTTGTTTGTTTGTTTGTTTGTTTTGGTTTTTTTTTTTTTTTTTTTTTTTTTTGCAAACACATACTCCTTAAACGATAATCAGTAGCGGTAAAAGTGTTTATATACAAATGATATAAATTATGGAGTAAATATCAGTTTTCAGTAATACATCTAGATTTTAACATTGTTTAAAGATGAATTCAGGCAAACTTCCTATACTAAAACTTCATTTTTTGTGGAAGAACTCTCACTTTATCCCACAGAAATGTGATTATTATTTTGAAATATGGCTAAGGAGATTCTACTGAATGCCTAACAGATATGTAACATACAGATACTGTACTGTAAAGCTGACATGTTGACAGAAAATCTGCTTGAAGTAGTTTTATGTAACATATGCATCCAGATTTAGTACCTGCCAGAAAAACAATTGTACAGATAAGGTGATTTTTACACTGAGTCATCACAGTTTGATAAGTAATTTTAATTATTATTAAATAGTAATATGCATATACAGTGATGCATATAATAAGGCCAGCAATTCGTTTTGAGCTTCAGACTGGGACAAAGCAAAGAATGACAAGTGTGTGCCAGTACAGTGAATCTGTTTCTAGACATTGCAGTTAGTAATTTCTTACAGCTATTTCTTTTCTTGTTCCTTTATTTCCTTCTGTAGAGGTCCTTCTGTAGTGCCATGGTAGAGGAGCTAAGGATGTCTCTGAAGTGTCAGCGTCGATTAAAACACAAGCCACAGGCCCCTGTTATTGTGAAAACAGAAGAAGTTATCAACATGCACACATTTAACGACAGAAGGTTGCCAGGCAAAGAAACCATGGCATAGAGCTGGGAAGCCAAATAACCCAAGCACAAACTGTCGTCTTTTTTCCAAACAACCTTGCGAGAATGTTTCCTGTGGAAATATGCAAGAAGTGCAAAATAAAATGAGTTACCTCATGCCGCTGTGTCTATGAACTAGAGACTCTGTGATCTCAGCAGTTGCAATGGCCAGACTCGAATCACAAGCATCATGGATCAACCAAGTTATGCAGGGTTACACTGTTTGTCATGGGTTTTCACCATTCTGAATGAATGAATGTTCCATGTGAGTTTTGTGGCTGGTTTCAAATGCAGTCTCAGTGAGAAGTTACAGGTTCCTTTTGAAGTTCAACAGTTGCCAGAAAAGGGAGAATAAATGCCCGAGATGATACAAACCACAGACAGAGTCTAGTAAAAGTAATGTCTCAGAACTGTAGTGGAACAAGAAACCATATGTTCTTCCCAGCACAGAAAAGTTGGTAACTGCTGGTAGACTGAAACTACCAAGTGGACAAGGCAATGGATCATCCTGGATGGAAGAAATGTTAAAAGTGAAGAAACATGAATCCCATGAATACAAGAATAAATATGAGGATGCTCACCTGCTTTTTTTTTTTTTTTTAATTGTTTGTGGCACTGAACTAAGTAAATAAATAATAATTACAAAAAAAAATTAGCTGGGTTGGAACTTTGATCTAAAACCCAACAAAAATATTTCCAGAATTTTGACCCAATTTTAGAGGAAAGAAACTTTCCTTAGTACAAAGGAATGTATCTTACAAACTTTAGATATAAGCAATTGATTTTTTTTTCTATAATTGTGAAAAGAGGGAGGGGGGTGGGAAGCAGTGCATTTCACACATAGAGGGCTTGCATTTTAGCCTGAATGGGTTTTGAAACACTTGTTCCTGCTACTAATTGAACTCAATGGAGCCTGTGCGATTCTCGCTAATGTTGGAAGAGGGATGGGTCACTAAAAGAAGTGAATGTCAAGAACCTAAAGGAGGACTGCATTTTTCAATACAGTCACAGTACTAAATGAACAATATTCTTGAGCAGTTTTTTTTTTTTCCAAAAAAAAAAAAAATGTTCAGGTTTATTTGTGGAAATGCAAGATTTCTATGAAAATAGTTTTTGTATGGAAATTTTTGTAATACTTTTTATCAACAAAATAAGAACATGTGTTTCCGTCAGGGGTGTGATGCCAAGCATGAGTGATAGTGCGTGCGCACCACCAACGTTTGGTGAAAACTATTTTTATCATGAAAAAGGAATCTTAGAAGAGACATATTTTCAAGTTATATAATATAAAAAAAAATAGGTGCACTACCACCACTGCTTACCATGCCACACCCCTGGCTTCCACTAAGCTGATAACATGTTATCATGAACAATTGTGTGTAAATGGTAAAAGACACAGACCTCTTGACCACATTGTGATAGAAGTTAATATGCACTCAGTTTGCTGTTTGAATCCAATGCACAAAATTAAAAAAAAAAAAAAAAGAAAAAAAGAAAGCATTACATTTATGTCAGTTTTAGTTGGTTTGGTTTTGCTGCGTGATTTGAGCAACATATGTGCAGTACTTTGTGTCAGTACTGTTACTTAGCTTCAGCTTAGTGCCCTATCCTGATAATTCTTGCCACTAAATTTGTGACGAGAGAGTTCGCTGGGATTTCTGACAGAAGCCATTACATCACATTTTGATAATATTTGCAGGATTTGGCTCTTAGCTGCTTCAAAGCTAACTTATATGTCCTGACTATGGTGAGGTCCTGGACATAACATTTTGAAATACTGCCCTAAAGATGCTGAATCTTGCACCTCTGTCTACTGTAAATTTATTTGTATCTCAATAAGAAATGTATAGTATGGACTATGTAGGAATGTTATGTCAACCAAAAAAGATTATTTAGATGGTCGTTACATGGAAAAAATTTGACTTTAACCCCCCAAAACTTTAAAATACACCCCCAAATCATTGAAATAGTCATAGATAATAAGTCATCGGTGAGTAAAGATGTGGCACAGAAATAGAAGATATATAATCCAAACTGTAGAAATTATATCATGAAATTTGGGGGTAAATGGGAGGTTTGTGTCTACTACCCAGTTATCATAAATCTTCACAGAGATTGAGCTGGCCATTTCCATTGTGAGCAGGGACTGAGAAAGCAAATTCTCTTATATTTGTGAGTTTCATCCCCATTTATGTGATAACAAAGAACAGGTTATCTTTGTTGGAAGTATAAAGAAGATAAAAACATTTTAAGCAATTTTTCTGGAAATGAGTAAACATACAAAATTTATATTTAAGTTAATTCTTTGCAACACAAAGGGGAAAAGAGTAACTGTCATAACACAATGAAAACTTCTAATTATGATGGCTTGGAATGGAAAAAATTGGCTGTTGCATTTGGTTGATGATTTACAATAAAATTTGTAAAATCATGTAATAAAATGCTGTATTATATTCAAACACACTGTTCTTTTCTCCATTGAGGATGTTGAAATAAGCAGGATTTCATTCTCACCTTAATGCTCAAGACTAATTCTCATTAAGCTTTTTGTGAGCTAAAGTAACAGTGAATGCAGAATATGTCCCAAATATTTTATTGGGTCAAAGTTCCCCAAGGAACAAAACTTCTATCACTGAGGTAGTGTAGCTTAATTAAAATTTCAGTCAGAATTTCAACCTTCCATTATTGAGGGAAACATGCAAAGTAACTGGAGATTTTTATTAAAGATCAAGACTAGAAATGCATGGCTTCACAGATTCACAGTAGTATAATGGGGTTTTTTTCAACAGTCATACACTAACTCATGTTGTTACTTTGTTTTCCATTAGTAATTATTTCTGTATTAAGGCATTTACAGAAAATTGACTAATAAAGACCTGACCTCCAAAAGAGTAGAAAATACTACTGATAGTTTTGTACTTGAAAAGGCAAAATTCCTTTAAATTTCTTCAAATTTCTTCAAAAGCTTCATTTTCTTTTTACTGCTGAAAAAAAAAAAAATAAAAGTCCTGAATTCTGAAGAAAAATTCATTGTTTGGATAGGCCTCTGAAAGGCTTTTCCCAAAATTCAAAAATTTTCATGCTGTATAAATTTCTGTACTGTCATTAAAACTGATGGAACTTGCCAGCAAAAATCAAGAGAGGATCTGGCCCATGAAGATTCAGAATCCATATATAATTGCTTTATCTGGTCTCATAAAACAGCTTAATTAGTCTGCTGATTTCTCAGAACAGGATGATGGGTGCTTCTCTGACTGACCTTAAATGTCACTCTAGAGAAGAATTTTAAAGCAGTTATAGCTCAGTGAAATGGTGCTGCCTGTTGGATGATAATTGGAGGTAAAAATTAAACAGAACGTTTTTCCCCCATGTTCGTTTCAATGAAAATAGACATCTTAAGACACAAAAGACACACTATTTATATCTTCAGGTTGCCTCAGCATGGTTGTATAGCAATAGAGAAGTAGAAAAAAAGGATGAAACCCCTTTTATGTTGTTGATAAATGTAATTTGTGGAGGACTGGTAGTGAAAATAATGAGTCAAATGGTTGGATGAAATCAAGAGATCTCTGGTGCTTTACAGTAGATGAGGATTTGTCCAATTATAGACATCAGCAGGCCTTTTTAATGGTATTCTCCTTTTATATAAACAGAAGTACAGACATATACAGGGAGTATCTGGGAGATTTTTTATGTGCTATTTCTTTCTGAAATTTCTGTCTCAGTTTTCAGTTGAAGAATTCAGTATAGATTTGAAATAACATTTTCTTTCATTTTATTATTACTTGAGGCTCTGTTCATTAATCTTTCCTGATTTCATCCATAGAATGTTCACAACCCCCAAAATAACAGTTTAGTCCTACTACACTAACTTGCTAATATTTCAGAATTGAAAAAACATACTTTATCAGGGAAGAAAATATATTGTGCCAAAATCCAAAGCCACAATAGGAGAAATTCCTAATATTCTACAAAATAAAAATATTTTCAGGGAAAAGGGATCATGAGCAGAGGTAATATCATACTAAGATGTAAAACATTATTCTACAAAATAATGGTTTATTGTTTTGAGGTTAAGGATATTAGAAAAATGGGCAGAACTTCAGACACAACTTCACTTAGTCTCCAAATACATCAACAAACACAAAACATAACTGAAATACTCCTTTGAAAGAAGTGTGAGAACTCCTACTTAAGAGGAATCAAGGTTTTATCCAATACAGCCCCAAATATGTACAGATATAATATTTAAGGCAGAACTAGGTGTACAGAAGCGATCGTGTTTCTGTCAGAATTTCAAGGATGTATCGGAAAACAAAGGGTGGGTGAGGTTGGCTTCTCTTACTTAGAAGATCATTGCTCTCCAACCTCAAACATGCTAGTGTCCTGTTCTCTTCCAGTCTTACCTCTCTGCCTTCCTACAAGCACGTCTGAAAGTATGAAATTTATTTTCAAAGCCCTTTTCTTCTGGCCTTCCTTTAAAAATAGTTCTAATTAAAAATAAAGTTACTCAAACACCTCATCTCCCCAGTTTGTATCCACCAAGATAAAAACATTAGCATTTCATGTGACTGTAATCTAATTGTCTTTATTTTCATTTACTACCCCTCTCTGTCCCCTGCCTGTGTTATCTTCTCCTGTTGTTCTTGTACTTGCCTAGACTGTAAGCTCTTAGGGGGCAGGGAATCTGTCTTTGATTTGTTCTATGTAGCACCATGAACTATGGAGCTATATAAATAATAAAACAATGTAGATCTTCTTAAACAATGTTTGAAGTGATAGTGATCTGATTGACTGCCAGTCTAGTAATATATTGTTTTAGCTCATTGCCTGAATTCCTAATCACTGCAGCAATAGAATAATCAAAAAATAAAAATAATAAAACCAACACAAAGGGGCTATCACACTGACTCATCTTACTGGAATTTTCCCTACATGGTCTGGGTATAGGAATGGAATGTCATGTTCACATACCTTCTATAATGGCTTAAATATTTAATCAGCTACGTTAGAATTCTTTAAAAAAATAAGTAGGTTAACACAGATATACAGGATGTGCTTTGGAATGAGGATTTTGATTTGTCAAAGTTTGGAAAAGATATAATTAAGAGATTGGTTAAGGAAGGTTAAGACACCAGGAACCTTTCCTTCCTTCATTGTTTCAACCCACTTAGTCAACAAGCCTATCATTGCTGAAATCTATAGCGATCCTATTTTGCTAATAATTTTATGAATATATTTAGAAATTTTCTACAAAATATAGTTTTAGACAAAATTAA